TGATTTGAAAGTGGTCCACTATCTCATGAGTTACCCCCGCCACACACACACACAAACACAAAGCAAATCGATACATTGTTTTTAGCATGGTAAATCTAACAGGAAATTGTTCGTCCTAAATAGTGTCTCCAGGGAACAGGAAGTTGGATGTGTTCTTTCGTGTAACAAATGATAAATTGGAGTTGTTCATCAGGAAGCTACCACATCAGACAGTCATTTTTATTTAAGGAAGACCTCAAATATCAACACAAAAATTGGCCTTTCTAAACTTCTTTAGGGGTTTGGAGAGAGTTCGATTTAGAAGCAGGCAAACTAAGATGTACTGATATGATTAAAGGCTATGTGGAAACAATTGGTTTTGCTGTGTTGCTATTTTGTCAGTTTAATAACTAAAAATAAATTTTAAGGTTTCAAAGAAAAAAAAGTTTTACAAAGATGTTCCTGTGAAAAAAGGAGCATTGGAAAATATATATATTATATAATACAAAGAATAGTAGAAGGAAACACTCATATAATGCTTATCATGAGCAAGGTATTGCTCTGACAGCAAAGTACTGCTTTTTTTGGTACCGGGGATCGAACTCGAGTCCCTGCACTTTCAAGGCAGGTGGCGGAACCACTGAGCTAAATCCCGGGCCCCAAGCAAGGTACTGTTCTGCAACATGTTTTCCATATATTAAAATTCCAATAACCACATCTCTTGGCTGAGTAAGAAGCACAGAGGGTCAGTATTTTTTTTTTTTTGAAAAAACGTATGAAGAAAGGTCATTTATCTGGCACATGTTCAATGTAAAACAGGCATTTTAAGACAGTGGTGGCCTCTGACATTGTGACCAATAACTGCTTCAGATTTTTACCTGTTGACCAAGAAATGGGGTTTGGCTAGCTCTCCTGACTTGCACAGCCACTATTTCATATTATAACACACTGTTCAGATGAAAGTGAAGTTACCATCCAGTGCTAACAGTGCGGGACAGTGGGCTGGAATCAAGTGTAATTGAGTTCCATGTGTTGCCCCCAGGGGGTTGTCCCTGATCTAGTTTCAACACGCGCGGCTCCCATCAGGAGGCCTGAGTGGTTTCACCAGTTGCCCGCCAATTTTCAGCCAGGAAAAGTAACAGCATTATGTAAAGAGGAAAAAATAGCTCAAATATTATTTTTATGTAACTGAATCGGGAAAAACGATGCTATACTTTATGCCTAGCATTTCAATAAGCTCCTTAAATATATTAATTTTAATTCCTGAAACACTTATGAAAAAAATGACATTTTAATGTTATTAAAAAGGTGAAGAACTTGAAAATCAGAAAAAAACAATAACCAAGATATCATGTCATCTAGGGTAGAACAAAGACTATATGTCCAGTTAGAAAGTAATTCAAGGTTAAACTTTTTTTTCCTCCCAGGGCTCAAAACCACAGTGAATGTCCAGTAGGACTTAGTAACACTTGATTCAGTGATGAAACTGATAACTAAGGACACCACTTCTCTCTTCATTAGGAATTCTGAGTGGAAACACATGGTAATTTAAATTTATCAAACACTTAACAAAGGCTATAATTTACTAGTACTCAAGAAGGTGCTAGATTTTTTTTTCTTGTTTGTTCATTACTAGCCTTGGGAAGGCACCTAAAAAATGAACATGGTGCATTTGCAGAGCAAAAGCCATTTTTTGAAGGAGATATAGGTTATGAATGATTAGAAAGCCTTAATTTGTAAATAGGTGGGGAGAGTGAAGTACCCAGAATATTTGGACAATGAGCTTATAAAAGTAACTGTGCATCTCTTTTCAAAGCTCTGCTTTCACTTGCTTAAAGAGTAACAAATGTACATATTAGGTACATGCATTTGTGAATATTTACTTCAATGTTATTTTCCTAAATGGTCAGTTTCCCAAAATTCGTTGATACCAGAAATAATTAACAAGATATATTTAACAGTATCCAAAGTCTAATAACACCAGCAATTAAAATCGTTGCCAGTGTTTATTTTATATATTTATTCAAAAGAAATAGCAAGGAGAAAAGAGATTTAAGAAAACTAGCATGTTTATGAGCAAAGACTTCTAGAAGGGGAATCCTATAATGAAACCACATTTAAATTCAAGCATGATAAAAAGTAAACGTTTATTCCTAAATCATGGTTGAGAAATAGAAAAGAAAATTATGTAAACTAAGAATTTTATAGGAAACTGTCACATAAATAGAGCCAGTTCTGCCAAAGAACAACACTGCATGCAACACTAAAGAAGAACATAGAAAAAGGAAACCATAGCCAACTGGACAGAAACAGCCAGTGTAGATGGAGATGGGACTGACACAATGCAATATTGAAAGAGAATCTGTTCATGGCACACACTGTCAAGACCAGTGGAAATAAGATCTCAAGATACTGATGGTGAAGTTGAAGTGCTTGATTAAGTAGGAATTGATGAACTGAAAACCAAGGAGTGGGCCAGGGATTTAGCTCAGTGGTTCCGCCACCTGCCTCACAAGCTCAAAGTCTCGAGTTCGATCCCTGGTACCAAAAAAAGAAAAAGAAAACTGAGGAGTAAGAAAGGAAACTCTAAAGGAGAAAAAGAGAGGTTTACACTAGGCTTGGTGTGAGAGTATTAGAGTAGGTGTCATGAGACTGGATCAGTAAATGTGTGTCTCCTATTTTGGGAACAGACTGGTGCAATGGGGAGGAATTTAAGCTTATGGAAGAAGGCCATGCAGGGAGTAAGATAAACAGAGTTCCTGCTTCACTGAGCTTTCCTTCATGTGGAGGGATGAAAACTATACATGAATGAACTAGTAGCTGGAAAGTAAACTTTTTTTAAAGATAGTGATAAATATGGCAAAGAGTTAGGGACAGTAAGGTTGTCTGGAGTCACTATTGGCAAGCTGCTACTCAATTTCACTGCGTTATGATATTTAACAGAGAAGAAAAGAAGTCGGGTGAATAGAAAGGAAGAGAGGGAAACAAAGCAGCTCTTCCTCCTCTTTCTCTCTCCCTCTCTCTATCTCACTTTTTTCTACCTCCACTGTCTTGTTCTTAGGTTCACTGTCTTACAGAGAAAGGTAGAGAGAGTGGACTAGTCTCCAAGGAATGGTTAATGAGACCTATAAGCAATGGCTAGAATAATTGGGCCATTTAGCTCAAGAAGAAAGAAAAAGTGACAATTTTAAGTGCAATTACAATCCTCACACTGGATTTACTAAGTGCTTAAGGTAAGCACTCTGAATAAAGAAGATATCCTACACTCAGACAGTAAAGGAGGGGTTCAGCCAGAGGAAAATCAGCAGGAATTGTGATTCGTAAGAATCTATATAGTCACTGAATACTACATAAAATGCTGGAAAAAGCTGAATACCTCCCCAAAAAATCAATTGAGAAAACAAAACAAACTATACACGTAGATACACACAAGACCAGAAGAACAGACACTGTTATTGGAATAGTCCATATGAGAGGATCTCAGAGAAGATGAGATGCAAAAAAGACCAAAAGTCCTAGTGTGGGAAATTAATATCAGAAAGATTGGGTACATGTGCCTAGGAGATATGGAGAAAGAAAATTTGCGGGTAGGAGAAGACATAGAATTGATATAATAATAATGATGAAAAGAAATCCCTCCTTTTTTATTTTTTAGATTAGTATAAAGAATGGTGAGGTTACTAATAAGACCAAGGGAAGGATGTTGTCCAAAGGTCCTAAGAAGGTGCCATGAAGTGACTGCAGTTGTCCATAGAACCAATAAGGATGGATTGCAGAGATCCACGAGGTGGAGAATTGAGTGGATGATCACAGAGACCTAGTAGCTAAGTGCAGCAGATGCTTCTGGGGGGCTGAGAGTCTTGGCTGTGGAGTGGAGCCTAGGAGAGAGGGTGGAAACCTGCCCAGCCCCATCTTCCACACCTGTTCTTGCTGGGAGGTGACTGCTAAATTCCTGCTCCTCAGCACTCAGCAGCTGCTCCCTAGGTGCCTGAAGCCAACACCCGTAGTCAGAGGTGAGTGAGAGTCAAAAAGAGATGAAAGCTATGGATCTTGAAACAGTTTTTATTCCAATACCGAAGTAAGTGTATTTACTTCAAAATGGAATTTTCACAAGAATGCAAATGAGCTATTCTATTGTGACATGAAGTTCTCCTGGGTGCTAGGGCATGAGCTAGAAGATAGTGGTTAATCCATATCTATAGTCATTTTGTGAATATATAGTACAGTATTACTAAATTTTAAGAAATACCACTTGACAAAGAAAACTAATTGAATTGACCCTAATACTTAGCTATAAATATCTAGAATTAAATCCAGATTATGATTTATTTATATTTTAGGGTCCACAATTTCCACTTAATGGCACAAGGGCAGTATGGAAATATTACTGATGTATTAATCACATCAGAGGAGATGTAAACATATCATAAAGAAAGAGGAGAAATTATGCATCATCTAGAAGTAAAATGCATCAGCTTGCATTTTAGGGAAACATGTAATGACTCAAATCTTTCTCTATTTAATCTACTAAGGACTCTACCTGCTGTTTGTTTCACTACTGCCATAATGCTCTCATTTCCACAATTCAAAAATATATCACTTAAGATAATTTGCTGGCAGAGTGAAATGGTGCAGATGTTTTGTCAGTAGAAAGGTCAGATAATTTTGCACAATGCACTGCAATTTTTTAAGCCTTACAATTTTAATATAAGTGACCCAAAGGAAAGCCCATTACACTGTTATATACAATAATTTCGTTGTGAGCTAATGGAAAGTGAACAGCAAGGTAGCAGCCCGGTGTACTGTCCTCCAGTGCTTTGCTGAAATATATATTCTTGGTGGGGTTTTTCTTAATATTTAAAAAATAAATGGTGGACAATGTATCAATGTGAAAAGCTAGGACCCTCATCTCTCAATGTACCTTTGTGTAAGGGGCTTAGCTCTCACACACAGCTAAGGAATATAGCATGCAACAATGATTTACAGCAAAGCCAAGGAAGTAAGAAAAAAAGTCGACTAACCTAACCCACCTGAGCTTGGCTCACACGGGTCAATGTCCTCGTCATCGCTAGGACACTCTGCGGAGGCCACGAGGATGTCATCTGTGGTCTGCAAGAGAATCACAGATAGTAGATTAATTTAAAAGGTCCTAACAGATCCTCTCTTCTTTGTCTCATTGACAAGCGAAGCACAGTTTGTTCAAATCTCAAAAGGTGAGGAGCAAAATTCAGTATTTTCCTTCCCAAACACACAGAGCTTAAATTCATGAATTTATTTTAGCTCCCTCCTGGCAGGATCTTTATGAACACTCTGTTACACTTTATTTTACATGAGGACATAGAAATGGTGATAACCCACTTGAAGACACCCACCCGGTCAACTGCAGAGAGAAGGTGCACACAGTGTCACACAGATGTTTAAAGCAACCTGGCAGAAACAGATGACTCACAATTTATTACAGCCCTGGAGTGCAACAATGTATGCATCAGTGGGCTTTATGTAGTACTTGTGCTCCGCTTCCTAAAAGCAGAACAGCCATAACCTTTTACATTCGCTACCAAGTAGTGTTTGATAAATCTTTGGAATGTAGCTTGTCATTACTAGAAGACATAGGTTAAATAGAGAATCAGACGTATCTTTGATGCAAAAGGGGAAGCCACTTAAGGCACTTTTCACTTCTGTTCAGCTTTCCATTCAAATCTCTTTTTTTTTCATGTTCAGAGAGCAGCATTGGTACCCTATTGTCCTTTCCATCATTAAGGCTTAATGAATGAAAAGGGTATTTGGAGTGTTGAGGGGGAGAGGTGACCCCTTCCTCTGTGACATTCTAGTTGCTTCACTGCACTACAGCAAAAAATAACTATCACTAAAATAAAAAGAGGAGTGTGTAAATCCTAGCAGTTAGTCACATAAGCAACACACTGACAAGCACCAAAGGTTATTCTTTACTGCCTCTTACAAGGAGCAATACACTTAGCATAGTTACTGCACAAGATTTCTTAAGGTTTGCATCAGATTTGGCTCATATTAAAGTAAAACAGAATCCAAGATACAAGATGAAAAATATCTCATCACAGCTGCTAAGGACTAAGGAGATTTGAGTTTCTTAGATGATACTCAGAACTGCAACACTGATGCAGTCTTTATTTGAAAATGGAATTAAACTAATATTGATCCTATTTCAAAGGAAAAGAAGAAATATCATATGACTCACTTTCTTTCAAGAGGCACCTAATATTGCCAGAGACTAAAGTATAAATCAATAAGTTTTAAGAAGGTTGTGGCATTTTTAAAAATGGAGCTAAGGGATGATGCAATTGTACAGCAAATATTAGGCTTAGAAATATTTCAAGCACAGGATCTTTAAGAATATAGAATTTGTTCAGATGCTAATGCTTCACAATATAGCTGGCAAAAAATACGAGCCTTTAAATAGCAATTTGAGACGGGTTCATGTTGTTCTGCTCTCAATTCTCCTCAGAGAGTTTCTTGATTCATTCATTTTGCTGCTGTTATTGGAAAAGAGACAGTTCAAAACCTTGCTTCTCCTGGAAGTGGAATAGTTAACAGTGAAAATTATCAGCAAGTGGCATAATTGTCAAGTGTGTATCTCTTGTCAAAAGGGGGCTTTAAAGAGGAAATGCTCAGCCTCCTCTGGCTCATACCTCTTGAGCAGAACATATCCAATCTGACTTGATAATGACAATTTATTGGATTATGTGGTTTTAAAGGGCAATTGCTCCAGTACATCCCAGAGCACATTATCAGCTTTATGTTGTAGGGCCAACTTCTCGTGGAAAGCTACTGTTATTCTCAACCAAAGTGGATGCTCTTTTAAATTACATTACATTACATTTAAATTAAATTAAATTAAAACTAAATTATCCAATTCAATTTACAAGAGAATATTTCATTTTGTCTTGAAGAATTTTAATGTATTGATGCAATCAATAAAGTGTTGTAGTATTCTTGATACAGGAAAGATGATGTAAATAAATGCTTTATCTCTTTGTTTTGTTTTGTTTCCAGACAGGGTCTTGGTATATAGTTCAGGTTGGTCTTGAGCTCATTGTGTAGCCCAGGCTGGCCTAAGACTAGCAGCAATCCTCCTGCTTCAGCCTCCCAAATGCTGGGATTATCGGTATGCTCTACCATGCCAGACCCTGAATAAATGCTTTAAACCAGTTGTTGTCATTTCAACAGAGATAGTGTCACCTCTCCCCTCCCCCACTCAGGGGGGACATTTGGTAATGCATAGAGATGTTTTAGGCTGTCACATTGGGGTGATAGTGTGGGAGTTCTACTGCTGGCATCTGGCTAAACAGTATGATACACATACCACAGCTCTAACAGCACAATTTTCTGCTCTAATATGGAAATGTTTCAAAGGCAAAAAATCCTGCTGTAAAAGTTTAATAAGTTTTCTATGCTTGATTTTTCTTCTCTGAGAAATGAAGTGTGGATTGTGTAAAGGATCAAATTAGGACATTAAAATGATCTAGAATAGGACCACAAGCACTCTACCACTGAACTTCATCCCCAGTTCTGTACTATATTTTAAAATAATATCATTTTAAATTTTAAACTGAAAGTTGTATATATGTATCATTTTTAATTTAAGGGCTCATGTTAGCATTTGTATCAAAATACACTAGCTTCATTAATGTTTTGCTGAACTAAGCTTTCATTTTTTACCATTGACGTTTAAATTGTGACTTAGGCAAACTAATATGAATATAAATAAATAGGGCTGCTTCTTAAAATAAATTCATGGACTACAAATGTGTGAGTTAGTGGATAGCATTTCATGTAAACTAAATTATTTAGGCAATATAAGTTGAATTTTTAAAAAGTTACTTTCTTTTGAACAGTTACACAACAAACAGAAAATGTTCTTTCACAAAACACAGTATCAGAATAACAGGAGATGTCCTATCGTAGTTCCTTCTCCAGCACTCTTGTGGTAGGAAATACTCACTATGCAAATTTGACCCTTTTGTAAAACTGTTTTAATTTTTTGATGTTTTTTCCTGGAATAATAAATATACATTCTTGATTTTCATATTAGAGTTTCCTCAGAAATTAAAAACTAGCAACATTCTTGTGAATAAAAGATCTCAAATCAATAAATGTCTTGGCAGGAATCATCATGGTATGAAAACTTGGGAAGTGGCTCAAGTGTTAGGAAAAAAATCAAATTTCATTTTGGAGGTAGAATTAACTGAACAATTTTCCAGCTAAAGCTAAGTAATTTAAATTTAATTCACTTTGTTTGGAGCTGCCACTGTAAGACTTACTGTTGAGAGAATGGTAAGAAAAAACTCAAATATGTCAAATTAATCAGTTCTATTCTTTAGTGTATTTTTCCCTGATGTTTATAACTTTTTTCAGAAAAGAGACAACCTGCTGTAAGAGACAAAATAGTGACTGAGCAACATTATTTTTTTCTAACAATCCATTTAGATAAGTGTCTGTAATTGTGCATTTAACCATTCACAGGTCAAAGTACCATGCTGGTCTTCCCTAATTTGGAGTGGCGTGTGCAAGCACATGGCAAACATCAATTCTTGTTTAAAATATTTACTAAAATTAAATTTCTAAACCATTAGGGAAAAATGACTTGAACAAAATTGAAGATATAAAGGCAGTGAAACTTACTCCATTGAGCTCTGTGTAAGAGCATCAATATGTAGGTTTGGGGGAACCATAGTCAGGATGAGGAACAAAAGATGTTCTTAATGTACAGAAGTTAGATCAATTTAATGAATACTCAGGGATATTAGGGAAAGACTATTTGATGGGTTGGAAACTAGGGAAACACTGATGTATTTTTGTTATTTTTTTCTCACAGCAAAATATTTTTCCTCCTACCATCATTAATGGTGGACCTTGTAAACACATTTGCTGTCATTTTTAAAAATACAGCCCGGTTACATATCTATGTGTAAAAAGAACATGGTGATAGGATGGCTAACTCTAGTATATAACATTATATCCCTGAGAAGAACAGCATTCCTAGATTTTTTCCTGGTGATAAATAGCTGTGCTCAAGACTGATCCAATCCAAGGAAGATATCTATAGGAAAACTGGCCAGAAAGACAAGTCTGCTTTGGGAAGAAAAGAGTAAACTTCAGTTGTGCAATAAGATGTCCATTGTGGATTTATTTTCATTAAAAAAAATCCTTGATTTATTCTTAAAGCTTCAGTTGAAACTTTGTTTCTAAATAGCAACAGTTTGTCCTGCTATACATCCAAATAGCTTTGGTGCTCACTTAAACAACATGATGTAACCTAATCTTTTATGATGTTGACTGATATTCAGGCTGATGTGCTGGGATGGTGCCAGCTGAAGTGTGGTATGTTTGGTTAACTGATGGGCATTTGTTTTTGCTGATACCTTTCTCTATGTGAAGCTGTTCTGGAAGAAAGAGGGCAGCTATGTCTGATTTTCACGACAATCTGTTTATCCAGAGAATTATCACTAGGTGAGATTCCTTGAAAAGTAATCTGGGGATGCAGAATTAGTGTCACATATTCTTCATGAAAAGTCCAATCCATTGTACTGATAACTTATATATGAGAAAGTTTCTAGGAGGCTGGTGAGAAGTCACAGTTGTCACTAAGAGGAAAAGTGGCAGAAAAGGAACCCAACTGCAACACACACAGAATCCCCGAACAGTAGAATAAAACCAATAAAGAAATATATAAAATAGGCACCTTTAGTTAATAACAATCCTATTAAAAGGGCAAAAGGACCTGAGACAGATGTTATGGTAGTTTTCATTGTTTCATTCTTCATGGATTATTTTTTGTGCATAGTAGACACCATATAAAGATGTAAGTCTAATGACACACTGTTTAATAAAAGAATAATACACTGAGATCCACTATGTAGAAGATGAATTTTAGCTCCAGAGCATGAATAACAAAGATAGCAAGGGCCAATTAATCAACAAATAGAAAATATTTTATTTATACGTAATATTTTCTGGTGGGCATAAAACATCCTCAATGCATATCAAAAGTATAAATTGTGGTTCCTGCCTCAAATAACACATTGTTCCCACTTTGTTCTAAAGCAGATGAAAAAGAAATCATCAGTACAAGT